GCTGTTAGATTTGCTAAAATATGGTAGAAAATATCTGAAAACTCAAAATGAAAATGTACAATGTCTTCCAATGAATCACGAATGATAATCTGTTATATGAGGTAAAAAAGAAAAAAGTTACTTTTGAAAAAAAGATTTAAGTTTAGAGAGTTTGGGGTGTTTTTTCCGGAAAAATTTAATGAGATAATTTAATGAACATTGTTGGTCATCGTAAAAGAATTACGGTTAGCAATAAAAATCCAGCAAAGGCAGCCACATAAGACTATTTTCATTGTCTAAAATGTGTTAACTATTTACAGAATATAAATCCCTAGAATACAGTATTAAGTGGAAAATTTTTCTTTATATATTTGTATTTTAATAAAATAACAGCAATATTCTTCTTAGACATGCATTTTTCCACCTAACAGTATCCGTTTAGTTAATATAAAATTTATTTAGGTAGAAACACCAAAACAAAGATATGACCAATACACTTGTGGAATACAATTAAGATAGCTCTTCACATTAAACTGCAGGGACCATCTTTGTTTTTCAGATGCCTAGCACAGTGCCTGGCAGACAGCAGATGATCAAAAGATGTTTAATGAATCGCTAAATACAATCTGTTTTGCACATACAGTCAAAATCCAGACAAGTTTGCAAAGGTACATAAGTTGGATATAGGCTTTCTGGCTGACTTCATGGGGGTCCCACTGATGACTAGGAGTATATCTTCATATCCATAGAAAACTGGAAAGTTGATAATTGTCTGGGTAAGGACCAAAAAAACAAAGTCAGGGAAACATGTCACCTAAGTAGCACTTGTTTTATAGAGCTGGTAAAAGCGGCCTAATCATTCCAACAACCTATTGTGCCGGTCAATGAAACAAAATTTAAGTGCATCCTGAACAATTTTTACAAGCATATTTTTAACTAGAATGTGTTAGATCATTGTTGCTTATTCATAATAAATCACTTTTGCCAAATTTTTTCCGGTATAAGAAGGGAATATGTCTTGTTACTATGAGTACCATATAGTTAATAGTATTTACTTTGGCTGTTAATTAGATAAAATGAGAGCCACAGTAGGGATAAAGAAAAAACGTTCATGGTAGTGAAAATTGTGGCAAGGGAGGACAAGAAAAGGAGAGGAAACGAATTCCACATATGGAAGTAAAGAAATTCAAATATGCCTAACTCTAAAACTAACACGGATTATGACAAGCTACCAGTAGGACCTACTGTGTACCAGATATTGTGCTGAGAGTAGAAGGATGTGTTAACAAAATAAAAATGTTTGTTTTTAGGCAGTACATAGGGCAAGACTCACAAGTAAGCATTTACAATAGAATATGCATTCCATTTATTCTTTTAAGTATGGGTCCTTAATACAACAGTAAGTATATTTACTGATTAATTTTAAGTGCAGGAGGAAAATAAGTATTAGAGAAAGCTGAAATTATCTTCAAAATAGTAATAACCTACAATAGGTACAATTAGTACTTCTTTAAAAAATTAACAAATTACTGAATTTAAGTAGACAAAATAATAGCTTTAAAGCTATTCACCTTAATACTCGTACAATAATATGCCCCCATATGAAACCCTCAAGTGGTATACCCAGAACTGTACATAATAGTTTCACTTCTGACAAAGGAAATGAGGTGGTGCAGCATAGTGAGCATCAGGAGACCTGAGTTCTCTGCTCCCTGCTCTGCCACTTACAGGCCTTGGAACTCAGGTAAGTTCGAGTTCTCAGAACTTCAGCAATATATAGAGTTGGATAAAGTGACCTCCAAGATATCACCCAGTTGAACAATTACAATCCTAAAGAATCAACAGTTCTTAATACTTAACAAGGTTTTTCCAAACATAAATCATTATCCAACTCAGATAAAGTCTGGAATCTTCTAACCAAAAGGATCATGGGGGTGAGGGTGAGGGGTGTGATAAAAAATGTTAAAAAAAAAAAACAAAACAAAATAAGGAAAGACATTAAACTCAGGACTAAATTTTCACTCAGCTGCCTACTGGGCAACTACCACCCCAATTACCTACATAATTTGCTTACTTAAAATTAATTTCTTCAGTAAGTTCTACTGTCTCTCTCTTACCTTTAAGGTTGCTGAGGTTTTAAGGTGAGAACAAGAAACCTTACAAGGACTTGGAATTGCAGTATTGATGTTGGGAGAAAAACTTGAACTTGACACAGATTTCTGCTTAAGCACACTAATTACATCTCAGAGAAAGGTAAAAAATTGTTCAAATTTATAACAGAAGGGAAATAAGATCATATTGTTTACTGCTATAAAGCTTTTTTATTTCGGTATGTAAATGTCTACTTTTGCACACAGTTGATAATTAAAATTTTACAGAACAAGTTTCTACATATGCAATGCTTTACTGTCACTAAAATAGGAGTATATTATGTTTTAACTTTAACCATCAAGCAAATAAAAAATTAGAAGTATTATCATGTCTTTATAATATTTATGCCAAATATACTTCTAGATTTGTATTTCTTCAATCCTTTCTAGTTGATCAAATTGCTGTTTTCATATTGCCAGTCTGATCACAAAATTGCTGCTTTACAGAAGAATATTTTTTGCTGACATAAATTATGGGATCAGAGATACCAATGCAGTTACAAAAAAAAAAAAAAAAAAGGGTGTGAGGGAGAGAGAGCGAGAGCGACAGAGTGTGTGTATATGCATGTGTGCATCCATCTTCAAGGAGAGAATAAAGAAATGTATATATGAAACAAAATAACACTTTCCAATATAAGCCCTAGTAAAAGGCCTACATCAGAAACATACTTTCTAGCATTTGTGAAATAAAATACAGCACTGGATTTTAAAGCTATGCACTAAGAACATATTATAGAAAAATGAATAGTGATTTTTATCAATACTGTTATTCCATAAACTTAAATCTGGATTTACCTTTCAATTTATAGCTAACCGAAATTAATATACTAACTATAAGTTCATGATTGCTTTGACTCATCAAAACATATTTTAGAAATTTGTGTCCTTTTACATATAGTGAGCAATTTGGTTCAGAACCCCAAGAGAAATTGAGATGAAAAGCTCATCTCAATTTTCAACAGTAAATAAATAATTCAGCTAAAACTGAAAGTGGTACCAATCCAGCAAACTATTGATGGAGAGGTTTGGCCTTCCATGCAGCCAGAACAACATAAAGTTTTCAATGGGGACTACTTGTTCAGACAAGTTACAAAGATTACAAAAATACCCAGATTAATTATAAAATAGCTAATATTCTCATCATATGGAAAATAAGTATCAAGAACATATATGGGAACAGACAATACTAGTGGCATTTAAACTTTAAGCGTTTTAGAGCTTTGGACTTTATATACTGATATATGAAACAGACATTTAACAAAAAAAAAAAAAAAAAAAAAAGCAATAATGCAAGTCAAAACCTAACCAAAGGCCTCTACCAACTAAAAATTTGAAATTTTCCATGGAAGTCAGACAAAACGAAAAAATGGAAAATGAAACCCCTAAAGCAAAAACCAATCAAGTCTTCCAACACTAAAGTCAATATCCAAATCTCATACAGGACCAAAAAGGGGAAAACACTCAGGTCTACAAATGGATAAGCAGTTCCAATACAATCCAGATCCCGACATTTTCCCACTCAGAAACAAATGCAGTGAAGCTTTTCCTGGGGAAAAAGAGCTCTCCAATGAATTTTTTTTAAGTGACATCTAGAAAGTGTGCCTCTTTCTGTCTCTTTCCCTGGCGCCTCATTGGAGGAAGGAGGGGGTTGTTTTTGTATTCTCCCCCACTGGAGCAAGACACAATCAGATGTTAGCTGGAGAAGAGAAACCACTTTTGACAACAGCAAATAAAAATAAAAGTGCCCTTCCTCCCCTGCCAGGATGGGCACCCCATCTCACACACCCCTCCCTACTCCAACCCCTCCTTCACCACCCCCCCAGCACCACCCCCTCCTCACCCCGGAGCTCCACTGCGTATGTGGTTTGGTGCTACTGTTGCCCCGGAGTGAAAGTCAGAGCCAGAGGAAGGCAATGAAGCCCCCACAGACACACTTACCTTTCCTGCCCCCCACTTTTGAGTGCCTTCCCTGGAGCTGTGGAGGATGACACAAAGGGTAATAAAGGGGGGGAGTGGAGGAGGAGGAGGCGAAGGAGGAGGAGGAGAGCTGGGGAAGTGGCTGCTCCTGGGTGTAGTGAGATGTCTCCAGCCAGGGCCAAGCAGCAGCAGTAGCAGCAGCAGCAGTAGCAGCAGCAGCAGCAGCAACAGCAGCAGCAGCAGCAGCAGCAAAGGGTCTGTGTTGCTAAGAGGCTTTTGGTTTCTTTCTCTCCTCCTCTCACGGCCAAAGAGGAGGAGGGTGGAGGGGGCTCGGGAGGGAGGCGAGTTGGAGGGGTGAGGGGGTAGGAGTCGTGGATGGGGGTTTTCGAAGAAGAAGAAACTCCTTCTCCTCCTCTCTCAGGCTCAATCCCCCTCTCAGGGCTCAGGGCTGGAGGGTGGGGGAAGGAACTCAGCCGCCTTCCCCCCACCCCCCACAATTCAAGGTTGATGTGGGATAGAATTAGTGTCCTGTCCCTTTAAAAATAGAAATAAAAGGTGCCCCCCCTCTGCCACTGCCTCTCTCTTCATCATCAGCTGCTGCTGCTGCTGGGGTCTCTCTGCTTGGGGGGGAGGGGGGTTCGGGTAGAAGAGACGGGAGGCACTCACTGCGCATGTCCCTCTCTGACGGGTGGCTGGTTGGTTGAAGGCAGGAGGAGGGGGAGGGGAGGAAATGAGCTATTTTCCCAGAAGGCGCAGAGGCGCTCGCGACCCGGAAGATATTGTAGCAAGGGGTACAGGGGCGGGGGCGGGGAAGAGGAGGAAGTCGCTACGCTTTTAACACCCCCAGCTCCCTCCTCCTTCCTAAGGGAAAGTGGAGGAACGGAAGTGGGCGTGGACGGAGACGAAAGGGGGTCACGTGTTTGGGCGGGAGAGGGGCGGGGTGGGAGAGGTGGTGCGTGCGCGGGGCATGCTGGGAGTGGTTGTGTACTGTCGCCAACAGCAGGTGAAGCCTAGCAGAGGACGCGTCCAGCCGATCCGGTGAAGCAATTCCTGCAGGCGTTGGTTCCCCCCTTTGCCCTGGTAAAGGCAGGCTTTTATGCGAGAGGTAATGGTGGGGTAAACTTGCTGCAAACGAAGGCCAGGGGCGTCGGTGGCGAAAGGTGAATCGAAAGGGGGAGGATGGAAGGCTGTGGAGACTGGAAATTGGGAAGGGGGCAGGCTTGTATAGGCCGGGAAGGCCAGGACCAGGCGAGCTCTGTCATTTGGCACCCCCGTGAGCCTGCCGACGAATCCTTGACACGTGCAGGGAGTCCTGAGACTAGCTCTGCATCGGGGTGGTAAGTGAGGAGCGTGACGGTCCGAGAAGGGAACTGTGAAGTCTCAGCAGCTGACCCTCATGACTGCAGAACGGGAGACCTGTATCTAGGGACAGAAACAAGTCCTCTGTATGCATTTTGACCAGATGCATCAGACGCGTTGCTTGTTTTGGATATTGCGCTCTTCATGCCTTACCTCTTAACCCTCCCTGGTATTCTGGAGTGGCTTTGGGGAAGGAGCAGGCAGGGAAGTCTTGAGTGGAGCTTCCCTCCGTGTCTTGCATTGTTGCTACAACACAAAGCCTTTGCTTTCTCTCAGAGAGGGATGTGGGATTGTGTAGTCCTTAATGTTGAGTTTTACGATTAATGAAGAGAAAGGACGTGATCAAAGTTTCCCGTTGTAGTGTAGATGATGAGTTTTAAAAGGACCGTTTCGTCTTCTCTGGTTACTATTCTTAGTTTTTGGGCCTTTGGTTTCCCAAATGCCAGCTGTTTTTGATGAAAATAATGAATTTCTATCATAAAATTAGAATTCAAGTATTTAAGAAAGGATTTATAAATTTACATTAGTAAAGCTTTTATAGTGAAATAGTACTGGTTCTTTTTCACATTGTTTTCATACAATCAATATAAACCATTACAGTCTCAGTTGTTTTGTAAAGGTATTTTGAAGGAATATCATCTTTGTACGTTTTTCAAAAACCAAGAATCTAAAATCCTTCATATTTATTATGTTGGTATTTAATTCTGTTGGGTAGGTTCTTTTTTTCTTTTTTCTTTTTTCTTCTTTCTTTCTTTCTTTTTTTTTTTTTTTTTTTGAGACAGAGTCTTGCTGTCTCCCAGTGAGCGCAGTGGCGCGATCTGGGCTCACTGCAACTTTGTCTCCTGGATTCAAACAATTCTCCTGCTTCAGCCTCCCAAGTAGCTGAGACTACAGGCATGTGCCACCACGCCTGGCTAATTTTTTTGTGTTTTTAGTAGAGACGGGGGTTTCACCATGTTGGTCAGGCTGGTCTCGAACTCCTGACCTCAAGTGATCTACCCACCTCGGCCTCCCAAAGTGCTGGGATTACAGGTGTGAGCCACCGCGCCCGGCCGGTGTAGTTTCTTTAGGGGTACACTCTCAGTTAAAGTTACTAATTTTCCACATCTTACTTTCTGTAAATTTGGATAGTGGACCCCATTTGTGCACCATTGCTTAGCCCTTACTATCTTTTGTATTGTGTACGGTAATCATGTCCGATGGAATCAAAAGTAGACTCCTGTGCTTTAAAATTTTCTTTATAGTGTAACCAATTGTCTGCCACTTTGTAATGAAAAAAATAATAATAATACAGCAAGGCAATTAATGTGCCTTAGATACAATTTTAAATCTTTTGTGTCTTTTTCCATACATTTAGTATTTAAGCATGCAAACATCAATACATAGTATAATGAATAGCTATAAAGTGTGAACTCTATGTAACCGCTACCACAGTCAAGAATTAAAATGTTTGTGGCCCCTGAGAAGCTGCCCTGTATATTCTATTCCTGATCATCCCCTTCCTCAGTTCTTTCAGAGGTTAACACTATCCTGATTTTTATGGCAATTATTTACTGCTTTCTTTCTTAGGATTTCTTAACCACCTATGTCAGCATTCCTAAGCAATTTAGATTCGTTTTGCCTGTTTCTTAATTGTAAGTGAATTATATATTACATATCATTATGTATCTTTTTCTTTCATACAGCTAAGATTTAACTCTATTAGTACATTTAGCTCTAGTTCTTATATTGGATTATAGTAATCTATAGTATAAAAAGTATAGTATAAAAAGTCTTAATGGAAATGAGCCACAGTTTAGTCTAATATTAATAAACATTTGGATTGTTTCGTTTTTAGCAGTTATGAACAACACTATTATGAATGTTCTTGTACATGTATTCTTACGTACATTACCATGGATTTTTGTAGAGTATGTATGTTTATCTTCAAATTCACTAGTTATGCCTTTTCCAAAGTAGATACACCAGTGTATACCCTGACAACAGTATATGGTAGATCCTTTTACTTTTACTGTCTCACCAAGAGTTATTTTTCCTTTTTCCCAAATTGAGGAATGTGGCTTTATCTTATTGTTGTTTTAATTTACTCTGCCCAGGATACTAAAGAGTTTGAACACTTTTTCAAAAACTTACCGGCTATTTGGATTTCCTCTTTCTAGAATTGTCTTTTTAATTCTTAAATCTTTTGTGCATTGTCTTTTTAAATCTTTTGTGGAGGTTTGTTTTTTTGTTTGTTTGTTTGTTTGGTGTTTTAATTGGGTTGTCTGTTTTACTCAGGGATTTCTAGCAGTATGGCCAGTATCTTCTCTGTGCTTGGAGCATTATTCTCTTCTGGGATGGCAACTTTATCTTCATGTAGGTCTTATATGCTATCATTGTTCTTTGAATTTTATATGTAGTTTAAACTCCAGGTAACAAGTTCTATGCTTGTGCTGTTCATTATAGTAGCTACAAGCTGCGTGTGGCTTTTGAGCACTTGAAATGTGGCTAGTGTGACTGAGGAACTGAATTTTTAGTTTCGTTTAGTGTTCAATTAAGTTTAAAAACTGACACTTGATTCAGTTACTGTGAAACCTTTATATTTGGAACAACTCAGATACATAAACCTTTCTTAACCTCAAATTATTAAATTATTATTTTTGATTTTTGAAGATTCCGCCTCTCCCCGCTCCCCGCCGCGAAATGGAGTCTCACTCTGTAGCCCAGGCTGGAATCCAGTGGCATGATCTTGGCTCACTGCAACCTCTGCCTCCCAAATTCAAGTGATCTCCTGCCTCAGCCTCCCAAGTAGCTGGGATTACAAGCATGTGCCACCATGCCTGGCTAATATTTTTATTTTTAGTAGAGGTGAAGTTTTACCATTTTGGCTAGGCTGGTCTCAAACGCCTGACCTCAAGTGATCCACCCATGCTTCAGGATTCCACAAACTTGGAAAGCCTTTTCCTGCATCCTGCTGGTTGTGGAATCATTTTCCCTGAAAAAAGTTGTGGAGATGCTTGAAGAAGTGGTAGTCAGTTGATGAGAGGTCAGGTGAATATGGCAGTTGAGGCAAAACTTTTGGCCCTGTTCGTTCAACTTTTGAAGTGTTGGTTGTGCAATGTGCTGTTGGGTGTTATTGTGGAAAATTGGGCCCTTTCTGTTGATCCATGCTGGCTGCAGGCATCACAGTTTTAAGTGCATCTCATTGATTTACTGAGCATACTTTTCAGATGTAATGGTGTCTCCAGGATTCAGAAAGCTGTAGTGGATCAGACCGGCAGCAGACCACCAAACAGTTACCATGGCCTTTTTTTGGTGCAAGTTTGGCTTTGGGAAGTGCTTTGGAGCTTCTTCTCGGTCCAGCCACTGAGCTGGTCATTGCTGGTTGTCATATAAAATCGACTTTTTGTTGCACCTCACAGTCTGATTGAGAAATGGGTCATTGTTGTGGAGAGTATGAGAAGACAACACTTAAAATGGTGTTATTTTAAATTTTTGCTCAGCTCATGAGGCACCCACTTGTCAAGCTTTTTCACCTTTCCTATTTGCTTCAAATGCTGAACAACTGTAGAATGGTTGACGTTGAGTTCTTATGTTGAGTTCTTCTGCAACTTCTCCTGTAATTGTAAGAGGATCAGTCTGCTTCAGTGATTGCTCTCAGTTGGTTGTTGTCAACTTCCAGTGGCCTACCACTGCACTCCTCATCCTCAAGGCTCTGGTATCCTTTGCAAAACTTCTTGAACCACCACTGCACTGTACGTTCATTAGCAATTCCTGGGCCAAATGCATTGTTGATGTTGTGAGTCGTCTCTGCTGTTTTACGATACATTTTGAACTTGAATAAGAAAATCACTCTTATGAGTGATTTTTGTCTAGCATCATTTCCATAGTCCAAAATAAATACAAACAGCAAGTAATAAGTCATTAGCAAAAAAACATAAAGTGAGAAATGCCCATTAAAATGATATATAACATAACCACATTTAGAAATGTATTCCAGTATCAAATGGCAAATTCCAACAATGCAAAATCCACAATTAATTTTGTACCAACCTAATAATTCGTGCTGCTTTGAAGGAAATCTGTCTTTTAGAATTTTTTTTTCTGTTTTTTTTTTTTGGTTGTAATTTTTCTGCTGTTTCACTCTGATGTTTTTGTGTGGAATTCTTTTCTTTTTTTTTTTCTCCTAGTCAAGTGTGGTTGTGGGGGTAGAGGAAATGTTAAATCATCGTGTGGAATTCTTTATCTTGCCCTGTATTCATCAAGATTATTAAATCAATGCATCAGTATCTTTCTAAAGATGTTGGTGATATTCTTGCTGTTTCTAGTTACCTGCTGAAAATTACAATCTTGCTTTTGTTGGCTTAGCATAGTTGCTCCTTAGTATCTGCCGGAGATTGGTTTCAGAACCCCATGCAGATACCACAATCCACAGGCAGCTCAAATTCCTTATATAACATGCCATAATGTTTGCATACAACCTACACACATCCTCCCACACATTTTAAATAATCTCTAGACTACTTATGGTACCTAATACAATGTAGATACTATGTGAATATTGTTATACTGTCACGACTTTTTTAAAATTTCTATTATTTTTTATCATCATATTTTTAAAAATATACATATATTTTTAATCCTTGGTTGAGTGAATCTGTGGCTATGAAGGGCCGCCTATATTCGTAGTTCATTTGTTGTTTGTTGGAGATAATTCCAGTTTCTAAATTTCTAAGTCTGTGTCTGCTAGCTCATGATATTTTTTCT